TTTAATCATGTACCCAAAGTCATCACTAAACAAATTGGGAATATTTATTGGTGCTTACTTCTGGGTATTTGAGAAAATTTTATGGTTATTTGGTCAGTTTCAAGATTTAATTATGAGTGTTGGGAGCAGGGCTGGCAGTTGAGCTTACATGGCAGTGATTGGGATATTTTTAAGGCATTAAGCCTTAGCGTAGAATTCTCTGAATTACCTTTACCTCAGTTTCTGTGGGAAATACCAGATTTTAAATTCATGAATTGGGTTTGAATTTGCACCAATTAAGTGACTAAAGCCATAGATCTTCCTGACCCTCACAATATAATATCTGTACCTTGTAGATGGTAGAAGTTAAGCTCCCATTTGCCGAGCAATATTACTTCTGGGAATATATCACTAGGGGACCAAAAATACACATTAGAAACATCATCGCACATCAATTGCAGTAGGATTCACAATGGTCAGAATCTGAAAACAACCCAAATGCCTGAGAACCAATGACTGGATAAAGAAACCATGGTATATCTACACAATGGAATATCATGCAGCTATTGATAATAATAAAGTCATGAAATTTGCTTATAAATGGGTTGACAGGGAGAGTATCATGGTGATTGAAATGAGCCAAAAGGAGATATTATGGTGATTGAAATGAGTCAGAAGGAGAGATACAACTATAGAATGATTGCATTCATTTGTGGAATATTTAAAAGAGTTTGTATCTATATCTATTTCTATCTATCTATCTATCTATCTATCTATCTATCTATCTACCTAAACATAATGAGACTAATATCCAAAGTGAGAGTAAACAGGGACCAGTGGGTCAATGCTTGGAAGGTTGCCACAGGATTTTGTGGCTGGTGAAGGGCACCGGTAAAGCAATATACATGGTAACTTTTCATTATCTGTATTTCAATCTATAAAGTCTGAAAAGAAAAAGGGAGAGAGGGCAAGGATATGGACAGAGAGAGAAAAAAGAAAAGTGTCTTTCATAGTGGCAGGCAGTGGAATCGGAGTGTGATGGTATGTGAAACTGGGAACTTTGTTCGTAGAAAAAGTACACAGGTGAAGGGATGGGTACTGAGACATTATATGACTAAAATTTAATCATAAACAGCCTTGTAAATGTGTAAATCAATGTGATTCAATTAAATAAATAAAACCTTAAAAATACAAAACACATCAGGTTTATTGAAGAAATAACAAAGGCTGACAATAAGCAAGACCCACCAAGATAGAAAGGGAAAACCTAATAAACACAATCAGAAGTTAAGGGAGATGTCCCAACCACAGAAATTTAAAAGGATCATCAGGGATTGCTTTGAAAATCTTTATGTCATTAAACTGGATATCCTAGAAAATATGGATAAATTTCTGGACTCCTATAGTCTTCTAAGGTTGAAAAAGATAAATTAGATATTATGAACAAACCAAAATTACTATTAATGAAATCTAAATGTTAATCAAAAGTCTCTCCGAAGACAAAATCCCTGACACAGATGGATTCACCAATAAAGTCTTTAAAGAAGACCAACATCCAGTCCTTTTCAGGTCGTTCAGAATGTCGAAGAAACAGGAATATTCCCAGATTCAATCAGGCATATATTTACAGCATATTAAGAGCAAGGCATTAGTAAAGGAAATGACATTAATACAGAGGCAGAAACATTACAAAAATGAAAATGATAGACCTGTGTATCTGGCGAATATAGATAAATGATCCTCACCAACATATCAGCACACCAAAATGAATAATACACCAAAAAGTTTTATACAATGACCAAGAAAGATTCATCCTTGGGATGCAAGTGTCTTTTAATCTACATTAGATAATCAGAACATCTTATCAATAAAAGAAAATGTGAAAATCATATACCAGTAGGTGCAGATAAAGTATTTGAAAATAACAGCACCCATTCATGAAAAAATAAATTCAACAAAATGGGGCTGATTGAATTTTTTTCAAATAGTTAGAGACATTCATCTCAATCTCCCAACAAACTTCATACAAAATGATATAAAAAAAAACTATAAACCATCCCTCTGACATCTGGAAAAATACAAGGTTTTCCACTCTTACCACTACTATTTACAATTATAAGTTTTTTCCTTCGTTGTTAGAGAAGAAATATATATTAAGAAACAACAGAATGATAAAGAAGTCAAACTCACTATTTGCAGATGGCATTATACTATACATAGAACTCACTAAAAATTCCTCCCAAAAATAAAGTACAAAAACCCATGTTGTTGTATTCACATATAATAAAAGAAAATAGTTGGGGCTGGAGCAATAGTACAGCGGGTAGGGCGTTTGCCTTGTACATGGCTGACCTTGGCTCGATCCCCAGCATCCCATATGATCCCCCCAGCACTGTCAAGAGTAATTCCTGAGTGCGGAGTCAGGAGTAACTCCTGTGCATCACTGGGTGTTACCCAAAAACGAAAAAAGAAAGAAAGAAAGAAAGAAAGAAAGAAAGAAAGAAAGAAAGAAAGAAAGAAAGAAAGAAAATAGAGACTTTTTAAAAAAAGATTCACATTTTTGCCTCAGAAAAATCAATTATTTGGAATTTGTACAACAGAACAGGTGGAAAACATTTAAATAAACTATAAATCACTACTAAAAAAATCAGGAAATGGAAACACATATCATATGCATGTATTGGAAAGGTTAAGATTTACCAAGATTTCATTCTTACCCAAAGCATTATGCTGATTCAATAAAGTCTCAAAAATTTCATGCTGTTTTTTAATGACGTTTATAAAACACAGTTGAAATTTATATGTGGCAATATCCCCAAATAGCTAAAAAATGCCAGAAAAAATGAAGAGATGCTTTTCTTTTCCCAACTGTAAAAATACTACAAAGTTATCTTAGTCAAAACAGTGTGGCACGGGACCAGGGCAAAAGTATTAAGATTTCTGAGACAAATCCTCAGGTGTATGGACAGTTCATCCTCAATTAAAAAGTAAAACTAAAAAAATAAAAACATAAATAATTAAAAACCTTACTATTATAACTAAATTCATAGATTGAACAGGAAAATATAGATATAACATTTCATGGCATTTTATAGGAATGAATGTATAGGTATTTTTAATGATCCAATACCACTGGTCAAGCAAACAGAAGCAAAAAAAAATAGGACCGTATCAAACTAAGAAGGTTTAGAAACACAAAGTGGATGTTGACCAGAATTAAAAGTCATCCTACGAATTAGGAAATTATATTTTCCCACCATTCATGTGATAAAGTATTGATCACGATCATGATCACAACCATCCTGTTGTTCATCGATTGCCTTGAGCAGGCCCAGTAACCTCTCCTTCGTCCTAGCCCTGAGATTTTTTTTAAAGTGCCATATTCAAGGCTCTTTCAGGGTTAGGAGAATGAGACCCATCATTGTTACTGGTATTTGGCATATTGGGTATACCACGGGGAGTTTGCCAGACTCTGCCGTGTGGGCAGGTTATATTCGGTAGCCTGCCAGTTTGTCCAAACTAGGAATGCGATGATAAGATGTCCAGGAGCTGAGTGTGATAATCTCTGGATCCTGGCCAAAGTATTGATACACAAGATATATAAAGCACTGCTAAATATTTACACGTGAAAAATATCAACCCCATCAAAAATTGAACAAGATCGATGGAAGAGTCTTGAAATAAGTCTTACACATGATCAAAAGTTACATAAAAAATGGGTCTATACCATTTATATTCAGGGAAATGCAAATCAAAACATTGAGACATCATCTCACAGCAAAACTGGCACATTACAAAGAAAAAATAGCCAATATTCTCATTGATGGCGGGAAAAAGGAAATAATATCATTCATTCTCCTGGGAATGTTGAGTGTACAAATTTCTTTTGCAAACAAATGGAAGTCACATAAAACTATGAACTGAGTTTCCTTATAACCCAGCAATTCCACTACTTGACTTCTACCCCAACTACTAAAAAACTCTAGACTAAAAAAAAACCTCTAGACAATTCATTTGCAAAATTATGTTCATTGCATATTACACTTACTACAGCACAATATGAAACCAACCCTAGTATACAAAAAAAGCTGCCTGAATAAAGAAGCTATGGTATGTACAAGTAAAGAAATAGGAATCAACTTTTAGAAAAGCTGAAACCATAAATTTGCTTATGTGAAAATTGATCTGGAGAGTTCGAAGTAGAGAGACAGAAACAGACCTAGCCTTCTCATATGTTGGATATAAAAGACACAGTAGGGAATTAAAAAGTGTGTAAGATCAACAGAATCTGAGAACTGGTCTTCAGAAGAATGACTGATGGGAGGGGGATGGGGATGTAGTTCGGGTAATAGTGGAAGGAATGAATCACTCTGGTGAAAGGCTTGGTGCTGCAATATTTCATGCATGAAACCTACATTAACATTTTTGTAAAGAACAGTGTCTAAATTTATTGTTTAAAAAAAAGAAAAACTGAGGGGCTGGAGCAATAGCACAGTGGGTAGGACGTTTGCCTTGCACGCAGCCACCCAGGTTTGATTCCCAACATCCCATATGGTCCCTTGAGAACCTCTAGGAGTGATTCCTGAGTGCATGTGCCATAAGTAACTCCTGTGCATCGCCGGGTGTGACTCAAAAAAAGCAATAAAAAAGAAAAGCTGAAATTTAAAAATTAAATATCGTTATATAAAATGATAAAGTGAAGCTGAATGGATATAAACAGTGCAAGTCATGGTCACGGTCCTCCCACTGTTCATTGATTTGCTCGAGCGGGCCCAGTAACGTCTCCATCGTGAGACTTGTTATTACTGTGTTTGGCATATCGAATACCTCGTGGGTAGCTTGCCAGGCTCTGCCGTGCGGGCGAGATACTCCCGGTAGCTTGCCGGGCTCTCCGAGAGGGGCGGAGGAATCGAACTCGGGTCGGCCATGTTGGCTATGTGCAAGGCAAACGCCCTACCGCTGTGCTATCACTCCAGCCCAACAGTGCAAGTAGATTTTAATAATATATTAGTTGAGTGTTTAAGACAGATGTTATTGTATTTGAGTGTCATCCTTGTGCACGGGTCATGCTAATCTTCTCTGTATCGTTCCAATTTTAGTATATGTGCTGCCAAGGCTGGAGCTATAGCAAAGCAGGTAGGGTGTTTGTCTTGCATGCGGCTGACACGGCTAACTCGAGTTTGATTCCTCCACCCCTCTCGGGGAGCCCAGCAAGCTACTGAGAGTATCTCGCTAGCACAGCAAAGCCTGGCAAGCTATCTGTGACGTATTCGATATGCCAAACACAGTAACAAGTCTCACAATGTTACTGGGCCTGCTCGAGCAAATCAATGAGCAATGGGAGGACAGTGACAGTGACAGTAATTGTATTACTTACCAAAGATAAACATAAATTTTATTATTTATTTTTTAAACAAATAAGATATTCTAACTTTGGTGAATAGTAAAATATTGCTAAAATTATAAACATGAAGACTATACTCTTTTCCCCAGAATATTTGGAGGAAAGAGAAGGGAAGAAATTGAGGGAAGGAGAAGAAACAGTCAGAAAACAACAGAGAGAAGAATCAAGGGATTCTGCCCATCAGTGTTATAAAGGAGAGGGAGAGCTAAATATTCAAACCATGGAGTCAGCAACACTTAAAACACAAGATCTAAACTATAACAACCAGACTTAAAAGTGTGCATATCAAGATGGCAGGAAGAAGGTTTCAGAGGAAACCCCAAAACACTGGTAAAGTGAAGTAGACACTAGTGGTGGGAATAGTGCTGGGAAGTCGTATACTTGAAACTCAAGTAGAGTGGTGCTTGTAAATTATGGTGCTTTAATAAAATAATATTAAAATGTTTGAAAAATTAGCAAAAATACTTTGAAAATCAAATCATAAAAGATCTAGGCTAAAAGAAGAATGGAACAAAGGGGAAAATGGAAATAATGAAGTGAATAATTTTTAAAACTTTCAAATAAAACTAAGAGATCAACTCATTCAACAATTAGTAGACTGTCAGAAGAAAATTTGAGAAAATTAAATGTAAAGGTCAATTATTTATAATATCATTAAAACAATAGGGGTTAAATGTATGAGTTGCTCCATAACAATAATAATCAAATTGACATAGGAGCTATTTTAATACTTATCAAATTATATTTAAGAACAGGTTTGAAAAATTAAGAGTGTAAAGCAGTCATAAAATATTCATGTTTAGACCCTGGGACCTCCATCTTTCCCTGCAGGACCTCAGGTGTCCCCCGAGATGCCTGAAGAGAAGCAGTTTTGAGCGTCAGCCCTGCCCTCTTCACTCCTGACCGCGGCACCCACCTCATCTTAGATCCAGGACCCCAGGTGTCCCCCAAGATGCCTGAAGAGAAGCAGTTTTGAGCGTCTGCCCTGCCCTTTTCACTCCTGACGGCGGTGCCCATCTCATCTTAGATCCAGGTCAGCACAGCTGCCGGCTCGTGACCCTGGGACCTCCATCTTTCCCTGCAGGACTCCAGGTGTCCCCCAAGATGCCTGAAGAGAAGCAGTTTTGAACGTCTGCCCTGCCTTCTTCACTCCTGACTGCGGCGCCCATCTCATCCCAAACCCAGGGTTCTGTAGAGGCGTGGCCTCCTCCAAAGTGGGCATGGCCTCAAAAGTGGGCATGGCTTAATTTCTGGCGGGCCAACGCTGACGCAGCCGCAGGTTGTTTTCCCATACTAAGGAACCTAGTCCCCAAGGAATCTAGTTCCCAACCTACTCGGCAATATGAAGAAACAAAGAAAATCTCCAACACAAGGGGAGAACAACGAAAACAATCTAGACCATTCCGTCAATACAGCTCACGTAAGGGACCTCTCTGACAGAATTCAGATGCGAAGTCATGAAGATGTTCAATCAACTCAATGAAACAGTCAGACAGACAGCCAGTAACACCACAGAAAAAATCGACAAATTACGAGAAGAAATGAGAGCAGAAATGTCACGATTAAAAGATTCCATAGATGAAATGAGAAACTCAGTTTCTTCTCTTAAAAATAGAATGACCACAGCTGAAGAGAGAATCAGTGAGCTGGAAGATCAGCTGCAACAAGCCAACACGCAACAACAAACAGTGGCAAGGGACCTCAAAATGGCTCTACAGAGAATCAGAGTCCTAGCAGATGATTCCAAGAGGAACAATATTAGAATCATGGGACTACTGAACCTCAGGGAAACGATCCCAATGAAAAAAACACCGTCAAACAAATCATTGCTGAAAACTTCCCAGAGCTGCACAATGCAGCCATTCAGGTTCAAGGAGCCCGAAGGGTGCCAGTTAAAAGAGACCCCAACAAAAACATTCCAACACATATCATAGTTAGAATGATCGATACTGCCGATAGAGACACAATACTGCAAGCAGCAAGAGCAAAGAAGGAAATCACATACAAAGGAGCATCCCTTAGATTCACAGCAGACCTATCAGAGGAAACCCTACAAGCCCGAAGGCAGTGGCAAGATATAGTCAAAAAACTCACGGAAATGAATGCTTCCCCAAGAATACTCTATCCGGCTAAACTCTCCCTCAAAATCGAAGGAACGGTACACTACTTTATAGATAAACAGCAGCTCAGGAACTTCATAGACTCAAAACCAAACCTAAAGCAAGGCCTAAAGGGGCTACTATAAGAAAAGACAAACCCTACAACCACAACACACCCGCACAGAAAGATGACACAAAACCCCATAACCATTCTCTCTCTCAATGTCAACGGTCTAAATTCACCAGTTAAGAGACACAGAGTGGCAAAATGGATACAGAGCCAGAACCCAACATTCTGCTGCCTACAAGAAACTCACCTCAACAGCCAGAGCAAACACAGACTCAAAGTCAAAGGATGGAAAACAATCCTGCAAGCACACAACTCCCTCAAAAAAGCTGGGGTGGCCATACTAGTATCCGACAACATTAATTTCACGTTGAAAAAGATTAGAAGGGACAGTGAAGGCTATTTTCCCTTCATCAAGGGATACGTACAACAGGAAGAAATCACACTCTTAAATGTATACGCACCTAATGAGGGAACAGCTAAATATTTAAAACAACTGCTAACAGATTTTAAGGAGGACATCACTACCAAACAATAGTACTTGGAGACTTCAACATCGCCTTATCACCTCTGGATAGATCAACAAGAACAAAACCCAGCAAGGAATTATTGGCTTTGAAAAAAGTAATAGAAGAGAAGGGTCTTATGGACTTATACAGGGCTTTACACCCCAACAAGAAAGAATACACATTCTTATCCAGCGCGCACGGAACATTTTCCAAAACAGACAGTGTGCTAGGACACAAAACATACCTCAACAGAATCAAGAAGATAGAAATAGTATCAGCCATCTTTTCAGACCATGATGCACTGAGGATAGAAGTGAATCACACAAAGACACGGAGAACCAAATCAAACACCTGGAAATTAAACAACTCGATGCTGAACAATGAGTGGGTCAGGAACGAAGTCAAGGATGAAATCAAAAGATACCTGGAAACAAATGAGAATGAAGACACAAACTACCAGAACTTTTGGGATGCAGCGAAAGCTGTATTAAGGGGAAAATTTATAGCTCTGCAAGCATATCTTAAGTCGATAGAAACGATGCACGTAAACAATTTGACCTCACAGCTCAAGACCTTAGAAAAGGATCAACAGAAAGAGTCTAAATCAGGCAGAAGGAAAGAGATCATAAAACTTAGAGCAGAAATCAATGACATGGAAAACAAAGAAACAATACAAAAGATCTATGAAACCAAGAGCTGGTTCTTCGAGAAAATAAATAAGATAGATAAACCACTAGCAACACTCACAAAGAAACAGAGAGAGAACCCTAATAAATCGAATCAGAAATAAGAATGGGGATATCACAACAGAAACTAAAGAAATTCAAGAGATCATCAGAGACTACTTTGAAACTCTGTATGCCACAAAACATGAGAACCTGGAAGAAATGGATAAATTCCTGGATTCCTACCATCTCCCAAAGCTGAATCAAGAAGATATGGAGTACCTGAATAGACCTATTCACATCAAGGAAATTGAAACTGTAATAAAAAGTCTTCCCAAAAACAAAAAGCCCAGGCCCAGACGGATTTACTAGCGAACTTTTCCAAACATTTAAAGAGGACCTATTGCCAATTATTCTCAAGCTTTTCCAGGAAATTGAAAAAAACAGAAACTCTCCCAAACAGCTTCTATGAAGCCCATATCTCTCTAATACCAAAAGGAAAAAAAGACACCGCAAGAAAAGAAAACTACAGGCCAATATCCCTGATGAACACGGATGCGAAGATTCTCAACAAAATACTAGCCAATAGAATACAACAACTCATCAAAAAGATCATACATCATGACCAAGTGGGATTCATCCCAGGGATGCAAGGATGGTTCAACATTCGGAAATCAATAAACATAATCCATCATATCAAGAAAAGAAAATACAAAAATCATATGATCATATCAATAGACGCAGAGAAAGCTTTTTTTTTTTTTTTTTAATTTATTTATTTATTTATTTATTTTTTCCCCTTTATTTTATTTTATTTTTTTTAAAGTTGTAGATTTACAATTTTTTGTGCTTTGGTTTCAATTATACAATGATCAGATACCCATCCCTCCACCAGTGCCCATTTTCCACCACCATGGATAATATCCCTCCCACCCCCATCCCCCCATCCCCCCGTCTCTGTGGCAGGGCAATCCCCTGTGTTCTCTCTCTCCTTTTGGGTGTTGTGGTCTGCAAAAGAGGCATTGAGTGGCAAACATGTTCAGTCCATAGTCTACTTTCTACATGCATCTCCCCTCCTGGGAGGATCCTCCAAACATCCTTTATTTGGTGCTCCCTTCTCTATCTGAATAGCCCTTTCCTCTAGGATACCCGGCTGGCCTCTAAGTTATGGAGTAATCCTCCTGGTGCTGATCTCAGCTATTCTTGGGTATTAATCTCATACTTTGTTACTTTATATCCCCCAGATGAATGCAATCTTTCTATGTCTATCCCTCTCTTTCTGACTCATTTCGCTTAGCATGATACTTTCCATATTGTACCACTTGTATGTAAATTTCATGACTTCATCTTTTCTAAGAGCTACATAGTACTCCATTGTGTA